TATTTTCTAAAATTGATTTAAAGAGTGGGTATCACCAAGTGCGCATTAGGCCGGGTGATGAATGGAAGACGGCTTTTAAGACTCGAGATGGACTTTATGAATGGCTTGTTATGCCATTTGGGCTTTCAAACGCCCCAAGCACATTCATGAGACTCATGAACCAAGTCCTTAAAGTTTTTATTGGAAAGTTCATCGTTGTTTATTTTGATAACATTTTAATTTATAGCCAAGATCAAGTGGAGCATAAGGAGCACCTACGCATTACCCTGCAAGTCCTGCGTGAAAATAAGTTGTACATCAACCTAAAAAAATGCTCTTTCATGACAAAAAGGTTGGTTTTCCTTGGATTCGTAATCAGTGCAGAAGGAGTTCACGTAGATGATGAGAAAGTCCAAGTGATACGAGACTGGCCTAGACCTCGGTCAGTAAGTGAAGTCAGAAGTTTCCTCGGTCTAGCTTCGTTCTACAGAAGGTTTATACAAAATTGCAGTACTATTGCTGCTCCTATTTCTGATTGCCTTTGCAAGGGTGGTTTTCGTTGGGGGGAGAAAGCTTAGCAGAGTTTCACTGAACTCAAGAAAAAACTCACCACAGCACCTGTCCTGGCTCTCCCAGATTTTTCAAAACCTTTTGAATTGGAGTGTGATGCCAGTGGACTTGGTATTGGGGCAGTACTATCTCAAAATCGTCGACCTATTGCTTTCTTTAGTGAGCGATTGAGTGCTGCACGAGAAAATTGGTCTACATATGAACAAGAGCTTTATGCAGTTATACAGGCACTGCATGTTTGGGCTCATTACCTCAGACCAGGAGAGTTTATAATCTACTCAGATCATGAAGCATTAAAATATTTTCGGAGCCAGAAGCATCTCAATAAAATGCATGCTCGTTGGGCGGCTTATCTTGAACAATTTACCTTCCTTCTCAAGCATAAATCAGGAGCAACCAACCGCGTAGCTGATGCACTTAGCCGACGCAGATCCTTACTCGTGGTAATGCAAGGTGAAATTATTGGGTTTGAAGTTCTAAAGGAGTAATATGCCGAAGATGGAGATTTCAATCTTATTTGGAAACAAGTTTTGCAGAATACTCCAGTACAAGATTATCACATTTCTGATGGATATCTTTTTAAAGGTAATCGCCTTTGCATTCCTTGAACCTCTTTGCGTGAAAAATTAATCCGGGACTTGCTTGCTGGCGGGTTGGGTGGTCATGTTGGTAGAGATAAAACCATTGTCTCTGTTGAAGAACGGTTTTTTTGGCCTCAACTAAAACGTGATGTTGGAACTTTTATCAAACGGTGTTATGTTTGTCAAACAAATGAAGGGCACTCCCAAAATACAGGCCTCTATATGCCATTGCCAACCCCATAAAATATTTGGGAAGATTTATCCATGGATTTTGTCTTGGGGTTGCCACGGACACAAAGAGGGTTTGATTCTGTTTTCGTAGTTGTTGATCGCTTCTCAAAGATGGCGCATTTCGTTCCCTGCAAGAAAACTAGTGATGCAGCCCACATTGCTCGTTTATTTTTCCAAGAAGTGGTCAGACTCCATGGTGTCCCGCGCACAATCACATCGGGATACAAAATTTTTATCTCATTTCTGGACTACCTTGTGGAAGCGCTTTGATGCAAGTTTACAATTTAGTAGCACTGCTCACCCGCAAACTGATGGTTAGACTGAAGTCAAAAATCGAACCTTGGGACATTTGGTTCGTTGTATCTGCTATGAGAACTTCAAACAGTGGGACTTTGCTCTTGCTCAGGCTGAATTTGCATATAACAGTTCTATGCACTCCTCCATTGGTCGGTCTCCTTTTTCCGTTGTTTACACAAAACCTCCCAAGCATGCAATTGATCTTCTCCAGTTGCCTTCCTCCGAAAAGATTCACAAGCAAGCGGATACCATGGCTTCACAAGTCCAGAATGTTCAGCAAGAGGCACGTACCAAACTTGAAGCTTCCAACGCTAAGTACAAGGCTGCTACAGAAAAAAAAAAAAAAAAAAAAAAAAAAAAAAAAGGCGACAACAACTCATCAATGTTGGTGATGAAGTGATGGTCTACCTCCGTAAAGAAAGACTACCAACTGGTTTTTATCATAAGCTTAGCCCAAAGAAGCATGGTCCTTTCAAGATCCTGCGAAGAATCAATCCTAATGCCTACGTGGTCGACATTCTCGATGAGTGGAAAATTTCCAAGACTTTTAATGTGGTTGACTTGTTCCAATTTCATTCTGATGCGGAGCCTCTGTATTCAGATATTGCTAAACTCGATGGTGAGTTTTCTTCAGGAAGGGGAGAATGATGGCGTTCACACATGCATGCAGCTGAAATACAAGTCCCAAGTCCCATGCATTTATTAGTTGCTTTTATTTATATCAAGTATTTATTTTTCATGTGGCTCTAGATGTCTTTTCCATTCTCAAAACATTGCATTTATATTTCTGTTGCGGATTCTCATAGGGAGTTGCCTATATATTCATATATTCTGTAATCCTGGAGATATTGAAGAAGAATATTATTCCCTTTGAGTTCTTATAATTTGTGTGATTGTTTCTTGAGCTTCCATCCTACGTCAGAACTCTTCAATATAAATTACTAGAATAGTAGAATAACAATATATTTCTCTCCTCCTCCATCTTCATATACAATGTACCTATTTATACTAATTTACTAATACATATAATAATTAAGTTACTCCAATTATTCTAACTATACAAGGTAATAATATATTCTTATATACATAATTTCCTTATACTAATATTTAGTCAATTATCCTCTAATTACATATATTCATTCCTTGTAGACCATCCACAAATTAAACCACCAATTATTTCTTTCCTTTGTTGCGTATCACTCTCCACCCCTTCAAAAAACACTTTGTCCTCAAGGTGTAGAGAGGAATAGAATAAACACATATTCGTTGAAGCAGTCCATGCAACTTTGGATGGGGGCTAGTTGGCAAAACAAATTGAAATGGTTCACGAGCTTGATCATGACACATAAATGGCCTCCTCCCCTTTTGACTTGCACCGTCTAAAAATATCTCTTGCTCTCCAATGTTGAGTTTCAAGTCTAAGGTAGTACTCACAAGTCTTGTCTCAAGATAATCCTCAAAAGACTCTAAGTGGTTGAAATCTTGAATTTTGCTTTCGATGTGAGTGGTTGGGAGATTAACTGTAGTTATTGATGATTCTTTGGACCCTGGGCTACTTGGTTCTTCTTGAAAAGTTGGACTAGAATAATTAGAAGTGTGACATTCCAAAGTGTCATCTTGGTCCGTCTGTAATTCTCCACACACAGCTATCAACAACTCTAAATCAGGATATTTAATGTCTAAAACGCAACACTCATCGTAAATATTTTGGCCATGAAGTGCTTGTTTGGCCATGAATGCATCCAAGATAGAATCAAACCATATACCAAAGCTTGGAAGGTGTAATTCTCATCCTTCGAAATATGAATATATTGTACGGGTCTTTTTGTAGAAAAGATCTCATACAATACAAAATCATCAATTAGATTCCATACTTGGTGTACAGAAACTAATAAGCACTGTTGAGTAATGTTTTTCATAATAAAAAAAAAAAATTTGTAACTTTTATCAATTGTTTTTCCTTTATTTTTTTTTTTTACTCTTGTCCTTTCCTCGTCTTTTTTTTTTTTCGTTTTGTCAAAATTTTCACTTCTTTTTTTTTTTCTAAGGAATGTGGCTAACAAAAGAAACAACAATAATAATAAAAATAAAAGGATACGTGATACTTTCACCAATGAAATCAATGAAAACACCAATTGTACGTGATGCATCCACAAATCCTCTCAATGAAAGCACCAATGTTACTTACTGAAATTTAGTACGCAACGGAAGAAACCTTTCGAGCAGGCTTCTAGCTCCAATCCGTATTCGTGTTACGGTAACTCCAAAAGGAAAATAATATAACGGAAGAGAATGAAGAACTCTTCAATATAAATGACTAGAATAGTAGAATAACAATATATTTCTCTTCTCCTCCATCTTCATATACAATGTACCTATTTATACTAATTTACTAATACATATAATAATTAAGTTACTCCAATTATTCTAACTATACAAGGTAATAATATATTCTTATATACATAATTTCCTTATACTAATATTTAGTCAATTATCCTCTAATTACATATATTCATTCCTTGTAGACCATCCACAAATTAAACCACCTATTATTTCTTTCCCTTTGTTGCGTATCACCTACTTACATTTTTTCTTTTCTTTTATTTTTTTTTTTTAACAAAAAGAAATGGTACTTGTGAATTGAACAATAACCGTACAAATTCCATTGAACCACATATTCTAAAAATGTTCCATCTAAGATATTCTAAAGACCCTAGCAAAATTATATTCAAAAAAATAAAATAAATTAATATTATCACAGTTAAAGGAGAAAAAAAAACTTTCAACTTTTTAAATATATTAAAAAACTTCTTGTTGTAAATTTAAAAAAACTTATGAATTCAAACTCTACGCTCAGAGGAGAAGCAATAAAGACATGAAGTGTAATACAAGCAACATGGCTGGGAAAGAAAAGGAAGTACTAATTAACCTCAAAAGGTTTCAATTCTTGACTATAGATATATGTCCAGAACATATGGCATATTTCATGTGTGAAAAACAAAAAAAATACTAGATGATATATTCTTTAAAATGTGATTCTTTATCATTAGAAGTTTTTAAACCAATACTATTAAACTGTGTTTTGTTATTGTAGAACAGAATAAGTGATCACATTCTTCTGTCAACAAAATCAATATAATATAATATAATATAAAAAGCAGAGTCGGACTATGCAAGACCAACTTTTTTTTTTTCATATTTTAAAGAGTCGGTCTGGGGAAGACCAACTCCACTTTTTAAAGAGTCAGTCTTCCCATGTTCGGTTTTCCCTTGTTGGTGACCAAATTCCCGTGCGACTTATTTCCGTATCCAACATATAAAAGTGGAATACTCGGCAAATATCTATGATATCAAGATTAGGCAGACCCCAAATCCCACTAAGAATTACGCCGGAAAGTGAATTCTTGCTCACTCGAAAACGGTGGAGAGTTGTGCAATTACCATAGCTTTCCGGGATTTCTCTGGTGAAGTTGTTCTGAAGAACCAAGAACCTTCTCATCTTCCCCTGTTTGCACATCTTCGGCGGAATTGGCCCCGTGAAGAAATTCTCCGACACGTCGATGAAGTCAAACTCCGCCCACGACCCAAGCTTTAAAGGCAGTGGTCCGGTGAGTTGGTTACCGTATAGTGACAACCCAATTAGATTCTTGAACTCTCCCAACCCCGAGGGGACTTGGCCGGAAAATTGATCGTAGAAAAGCTGTAGACTAACTAGTTTATTCAAGTGTCTGATTTCAGATAGATCACCAGTGAGATTATTGATTGAAGCATCCAAGAATTGGAGGTTAGAGAGGAACCCCACAGGGAACTTTTCGGTGAGATGGAGAAAGATTATTGTAAATGGTTCTTGGACACTTAATCAAAATTCAACGGTATTAAGAAGAAGACTAAAGTCAAGAAATGACTAAATTGCCTATGGTAAATCCGAGCTCTTGCCAGGTTATTGAAGGACTACGACCGGAGGGACTAAATCAATTAAAAACAATTATTTTCGGAAACCAATTAAATCGATGAATAAGCAATTGAGAGACCAAATAGTTGATTTTCTCTTTTATTAAACAGTTTTAGAATCTGTCTAATGTCTGTCCACCTGCAATGTAAATAATATAATGTTACAAATAATGTCATTGGAGGTTAATGTATCTATGTGTGTCTGTCTTTATGTGCCTCTATACAAGGTACACCAGACCTTAAACAAACAACCTCTACCAATTAACAACACCACCAGTCTGTAGACTAACACCAACAAACAAAGCTATAAAAAAAACCCACAAATTGGGTCAGTAAATTACTAATTCCACACCTTGTGGAACACTTAACATCAGCTGCTGGTGGGCATATCTTCTAGCAGATTCCTCAGCATGAATTGGCAGAGGAAAGCGCCAGAGCATCTGGTTCCGGGGATCGATCACCAATTTCTGGAGAGCGGGAGCATTCTGGAAAAAGTACATCGCGATTTCATCGTCGCTAGGGCGCCCAAAATACCCGCGAATCTCCACAACCTTGAGCGACTTGAGAAGAAACGCCTCGCCCTTGAGCATCCTTCTATTGGTCTTCAACGGACACAGCCATATCAACTGCACAGCAGCATCCGAGTAAGGAAAACTGATCAAGTTATGTAACGGATTGCAGAAAAGGTGAGCTTAGACTACATACATTTATCACATAAAAGATCAGGGACAATAAACATAGTATGTACTTAAACGAATCCATTCCACAAAGATGTTAATAAATGTCAATTTAATGAATACAATGATTCGAGAATATATATAATGTATGTTCTTCCCTAAGAAGTAACTACAGTTAGTTACCCTGTGCAAATGCTTCTTATTCTCACGGGCTCTATGGAATATATAAGCAAAAAGACCGAGTTCTTAACAAGGCACATTCAACTTATTCCAGATGTTAAATTTGCAAATCCAAAGATGAGTAGGCTATACTTGGAAACAACCAATGTGACAGAAAAATTTTTCTTTCACATTAAATTTAAACCGAAGGATTAGATACACTATTATAACTTGTTATATATGTAGTTGAAACACGCACCTGGAGCACAAATCTTTCCAAACGAGGACAGTGTTGCAGCAATGATGTGAACTGAAGAAGAGATTCATCATTAAATGCTCCAATTTTCAGCACTAACTCCTTGAGTTTGGGCAGTTTGGGAATACTTGAGAAATTAACGTTTGCCTGCATGGAAAAGAAAAACAAAAACAAAACAAAAAAGACGAGTTAACAAAACACCCCAAAAGAAAATGGTTCCAACAAAGAAAAATCGCCTACTAACCTGTGGACAATAGATAACTAAAGTTAGAAGCTCCAGCTGATTAAAGCAACAGGCAAGCTGTCCAAAGACATTGTTCTCGATTCCAGAACGGCCCATACCCACGGAGACCACTTCAAGTTTTGGGACATTTTTGAAGATAAAAGTAACCGCAGGACCCAAATAACAGAACGAAGAAAGAGTTGTGTCTTGGAGCTCTATAGTTTTTAAGCCCGAGCAGAAGAGAATCTCCAAGGAGTTCAGCTTGAGAGCCGGGCCAACGACCTTCACATTTACCAAGCTCCTCGAGCACTGCAATGACAAAAACTCGAGAAGCGGACAGTGTAGAAGGAAAGACTCCAGCACTTGATCACACACGTTAACGCACCTCAAAGAAAGGACTGTTAGAAACCTCAAGCCGGTATTGGACTGCCTACTAGTGAAAAGCTTAGACGGGAATGTATAGTTACACATGGCTTCACGAATATTGGCATCATATCCCAACAAATCCAGCTCGAGCCTCTTTACATTCTTCGAAAGCGCAACTTTTACCCAATTATCAATGGCAGATTTCGAACCCTTGTCCAGATCGAAGCTAATCTTGAATGCATCAAGGGCAGGGCCGTTATGCTGCCTAATAACTCGATTCACCCAATTAATGTACTTGTTTCTTTCAGTGTTCAGGGATCTTGAATATATATCTCTTCCACCCAATGTAGTTTTGCCGTTAAAGTCTAACCCAATAATGGACTTCCACTGGTTCCTCCACCGCCTTGATAAGATGGCAGTGGCAGCAGCCTCCTTCAATGGCAGGCGAGACAGTACAGAAATAAGAATTTCATCCGGTAATCTACTCATAAAATCACCGGCATTCAACACTTCCTATACCACAAAAGTTTAAGCAAGAACATGAACACGGGTGAGAATTCTGAACTACGGGTCATCATTACTAAAGCTAAAACATAAATCAGACATAAACGCTTAAGCTGTCAACAATTCTGCGTAGATACAAAGGAAACACATAAAATGGAAAACAATTCTCGACTGATATTTGAGCCCAAAAACAAACAAATCACATTGAAGCAATGCAAAACACCCACACAAACCTATCATTCTTCAGTTCAAATTTAAATTACTCCTAAAACACACTTAAATTAAATCTGCGAATGACAAGCACAAGCAAGAATTAATACAAAAATAATAATTGAATTTATAACTCTTTCTATCATAAAAACAAAAACTTGGCATTGCTAACCGTGCGAAGATCACAAACTCGAGCCCTTTTCCTCATTGACTAACGCAATCACCAACAGCCGCAAGCTGCAGACAGAAAATCAAGAAAACCTTACAATGTAGATACACTCAAACATACATACACAGGAGATATAAACACACAGAGAGCGAGAGGCAACATAGATACACTCTAACATACATAAACAGGAGATATAAACACACATTTCCTCATTGAAATGCGAGATTACTAACCCCAATCACCAATCACAACCAGCCACAACATGCAAACATAAAATCCAAAAAACCTTAAAATCGGAGCAACCACAGCCAATTTGAGTTGCCTTCTTGGTTGACCCAATCAACTAGGTTGGTTTAGCTCAGATATTTCCATAGGTAGGGTTACAAGACAGAGTTTACTTTGTTCCCTCGGGTAGTGGTCCCGGATTTCCTCGACACTAAAAAACCAAAAATCCTTAAAATCGCTAACCTCTACAACGTAGATACACTCAAACATACATGCACAGGAGGTATAAACGCACAGAGACAACCGAGATACAGTCGAACATACGTACACAACGAGTATAAACTATAAACACACAGAGACAGAGAATATCAACAGACAAACACAACCACACATACATACTTCGTTGGGTGAACATGTAGAGAAACCTTTATGAATTGCCGAATTTCTAAACAAAATAAAAGGGTTAAGAAATGATCGGCATTGAAGAAAAACAATGGGAGGAGAGGGACAAGAAGAAGAAGTAGAAGTAGAAGAAGAAAAAGAAGAAGAAGGAGAATTACCTTCGATCGATTAAGGAGAAGAGATTCGTAGTCGTAAATCGTAATTTCGGGCCCGCGCTCCGTTGTGTTATATAACGTGGAAATTCGGTGGCAAGGATAATATATTAACAATATTCTCAGAATAGTAAATTTTCATTTTGGTTGCCAAAATAAGAAATTATTTCGGAAGATAAATTTGAGAATGTTGGGACAACCCCAGTCAATTTTTTTCTTTTTTGGGGTAAACTACGTGATGAGGCACATGAGCTGGTCCAAAGGAAATTAAAGGGCAAATTATACCGTAGGTCGCGGTCCACAATATATTGTGGTCTGTATCAAATATGCATTGTAGTTTCATTTCAACACAATCACAGTATCATTTTGATATAACTATAATTTCGCTGGACAATATATACTCAAATAAGTAAAATTTTTATTCCGTTTCATTTTGTATACATTGCAGTTTCATTTTAACACAACCTAACTACAGTTTTATTTCAATTCAATTGCAGTTTCATTTGATAATATAACAAAAATAATACGTGAGACAGTGTCAGTTTAGATACACTATAGTGTCTGTCAGGTTGGACCATGATCCACAGTATAATTGCTGAAATCAGAGAGAACTCATTTGTCACTTGAGCTATTTTGTTGGGTATTTGGGTTAACTCCTAGTCAAATTGGTTAGACACATAGCTTAGTAATAATAAGACTTTCCGTGAGAATTGTCTATTGGTATTCTTGATTTGACAGGTTAGTTTACCTCCTTGAGCACACTTTCTGATAACGACTACACCTATCAAAGATTTCGAGAATGATAATAATATTTTGAAGTTAAATATTGTATTTTTATTATCATTTGACTTTGTGGTAATTAGTATTTATTATTTAAGTATTTATTACTCCTGCAATAACTAAGGAGCACACTTTCTGATAACGACTACACCTATCAAAGATTTCGAGAATGATAATAATATTTTGAAGTTAAGATATTGTTTTTTTTTTATTATCATTTGACTTTGTGGTAATTAGTATTTATTATTTAAGTATTTATTACTCCTATAATAACAATAGTTATTGCGTGGACTATGGTCCACACAACTGTGTGGATTACGGTCCAAAACGACGTCGTTTCACGTAATTTTTTTAATGCGACTCACTGTGACGTACATTTTTATAACTTATAATGTGTATTATCTTGTCGCAGAAGTTTCATTATTCTAACACATAATGTATATTATTCTAACACATAAAGTACATTACCTCAACTCATAATGTACATTATTCCAACTCATAAACGTTAACAACGTCGCTTTGGACCGTAGTCCACACAATAATTTGCCCGGTAATAATTTGTGGGCTCACATTTCTGAAAATAACACAGATTAATAATAGTGTGATTAATTAAAAATATACCATTATAAATATATATTTGTGTTTTCTTAATTTTCGTTTCCCAAAGCCATGAATCAAACTCTTGACCTTTAGTTAAGGATGGATGTGTTTCTTCCACTCAACCACACCCCCAAATTTTTTTGAATATAAATATAAATATACCATTTCTCTTTTTTGGGTGCAAACCACGAAATGACGCACAGGAGCTGGGCCAAAAAAAATTAGAGGACAAATTATACTGTGGAGCGCGGTCTACAATGTATTGTGATCTGCATCAAATATGCACAACAGTTTCATTTCAACACAACTACAGTATCATTTTGATATAACTACAATTTCGCTGGATAATATACACTCAAATAAGTGAAATTGTTATTCAGTTTTATTTTGTATACACTGCAGTTTCATTTCAATTCAATCGCAGTTTCATTTGATAATATAATAAAAATAATACGTGAGACAATGTTAGTTTAGATACACTATAGTGTCTGCCGATTTGGACCATGGTCCACAGCATAATTGTTGAAATCATAGAGAACTCATTTGCCACTTGAACTACCCTGTTGGGTACTTAATTGGGTTAACTCCTAGTCAAATTGGTTAGATAATTAGCTTAGTGACAATAAGACTTTCTGTGAGAACTGTCTATTGGTATTCTTAATTTGACAGATTAGTTTACTTCCTTGAGCACACTTAGCTTTCTGGTAACGACTACAAGCTATCAAAGATTTCGAGAATGATAATAACATTTTGAAGTTAAGATATTGTATTTTTGTTATCAATTGACTTTGTGGTAATTGGTATTTATTATTTAAGTATTTATTACTCTTGTAATAACAATAGTTATTACATGGACCATGGTACACGCAACTGTGTGGATCACGGTTCAAAAATGATGTCGTTTCACGTAATTTATTTTTGTTAACGCGACTCTCTGCAATGTATATTTTTATAACTCATAATGTATATTATTTTAAAGCATAATGTACATTATTTTAACTCATAAAATACATTATCTTACCGCATAAGTTTCATTATTCTAACACATAATGTGTATTATTCTAACACATAAAATACATTATTCTAACTCATAATGTATATTATTCTAACTCATAAATTTTAACGACGTCGCTTTTGACTGTGGTCCACACAATAATTTACACAGTAATAATTTGTGGGCTGACATTTCTGAAAATAACACATAGATTAATAATACTGTGATTATTTAAAAATATACTATTACAAATATATATTTGTGTTTTCCTAGGTTTCGTTTCCTATACTTTTTGAATTCATGGCACGTTTGGTTCAATAGGCCTGGAATAGAATAACATTCCCAGTAATAGACATATTCCTTTGTTTGGTAAAAATATCTATTCTTAGGAACATTATTCCTGAGAATGACCTATTCTCCTTGCAAGGGGAATAGAGATTTCTAGGGGCCCCCTTGGTATTAGGCTATTCCTGAGTTCTCAGGAATAGCCTAAAGTTGCTTTTTCCTATTTTACCCCCAATTAAATTTATTTCCTATTTCACCACCACAAACGCCACCACTGTCGCCGCCACACTAGCACCGCCACCAGCACCATCGCCCCACCACCACCACCACCAAACATGATGTTTTAAGTTTTAACAAAGACAAGCACGGTTATGGCAAATAAATTGTCAACAGATGAAAAGAGCTTGAAAGTGGACTCGCACTGGGAAAATGATAATTCTTGATTACTTTGTCAAGCAATCTTTCCCGGATTCTGAAAATCTTAATGAATGTTAATGAATGAGTTCATATAATGAATAGTTAAAGTGTTAAACCGGAAGTCAGACAAATTAGACATACTATGCATCAAGCAGAACTGTTAGGCAGAATGGGGGTACTATGGAAATTCACATATATTAAGCCATACTACAAGAAAAAAGCACATAGACAACGGTTTTTCACCGTTGTTGTAGGGGTAAAATTTCTGTTGTTGAAGTCGGTGTTGTTGTACGTCCCGCGCATAGACAACGGTTTTTAACCGTTGTCTTTTCTAGAAACAACAACGGTTTTTTAACCGTTGTCTATTAAGTGTTGTTGAAACCGGTGTTGTTGTAAGTCCCGCACATAGACAACGGTTTAAACATTTGTCTTTTCTAGAAACAACAACGGTTTTTTAACCGTTGTCTATTTAGTGTTGTTGAAACCGGTGTTGTTGTAAGTCCAGCGCATAGACAACGGTTTTAAATCGTTGTCTTTTCTAGAAACAACAATGGTTTTTTAACCGTTGTCTATTAAGTGTTGTTGAAATCGGTGTTGTTAAAAGTCACGCACATAGACAACGGTTTTAAACCGTTGTCGTTTCTTTAATATATAAGAATTGGTGTGGCTTGGTGGGTTGAGGCTTGCATGTTATGTTAGAGGTCTCAAGTTCAACCTTTGTTGTTAATATTTTAACTAATTTTATAAAACCGTTGTTTTTGTAGTGTTCTTAAAAACAACAACGGTTATAATAGGATAAATATTAAGTGTCATGCTTTAATATATAAGAGTTGGTATGGCTAATTGGGTTGACCTTTGTGTATTATGTTGGAGGTCTTAGGTTCAACTCTTTTTGGTGAGCCTCCACGGTAGTAATTTAATGAATTGACATTGAAATTTTTGTGAATAATTTTACGTTTAAATATGAACGAAAATAGAACTATTAAATTAACTTTTGAATTGTATTATTTCTTTGTTAAATTTTTATGCATTATATTTGGACAAAAAAATTAGTTATATTTTTATTTTTGTTCTAGATCTTCTAAACATCTCATCTCGTAACAAAAATATTGAAGATCCAAATTATAGGTAAAAGATAAGTTGTAACACTTTAGTGTGGCTTGGTGGGTTTAACTTTGTTTGTTATGTTAGAGGTCATGGGTTCTATCTTTTTTGGTGGCATCTTTAACCTATATTTTATACAATCATTGTCTTGGTTCTCAGAGACAACACAGAAAGTTGTTGCGCAGCTTGGTGGGTTTAGCTTAGTTTGTTATGTTAGCAGTTTTGAGTTTTATTCTTCCCTAGAGGCATCCTTAACCTATTTTATAAAATTGTTGTCTTGATTTTCACAGAAAACACAGAAGCAACCCAGTTATATACCAGATATTGCACTTTAGTATAAAAGAGTTTGTGTTGCTTAGTTGGTTAAACCTTAATTGCTATGTTTGAGGTCATAGGTTTGGCTCTTGTTGTTAACATCCTTGTTTATATTTTATACAACTATTGTCTTTTATAAAATAATGATGCGCAAAGACAACGGTTTTTTATAACTGTTGTCTTTGTAGTGTTGTGTATTTAAATACGCTTAAAGACAACATACCAAAGACAACGGTTAAATAAAACCGTTGTCTTAAACAAATAAAGACCGTGCAAAGACAACGGTTTTAAAAAAGCGTTGTCTTTGTAGTGTTGTGTATTCTAGTGCGCTTAAAGACAACACACCAACGACAACGGTTAAATAAAATCGTTGTCTTTTTAAAAAAAAAAAAAAAAAAAAAAAAAAAAAAAAAAAAAAAAAGAGCGCACAAAGACAACAGTTTTAAAGAACCGTTGTCTTTCTAGTGTTGTGTATTCTAGTGCACTTAAACACAACACACCAACGACAACGGTTAAAAAAATCGTTGT